TTAGATTTTATGTATATGTATAGTCACACAAAATTAAAGCCAAATTTATTATATTGAATATAAAAAATGTATAAAACAACAGCCAATTTAAGTTCAGTCCATTTTTTGGTAAAGAGAATACAAGATAATTTAATCGCCTCAATTCGAGTCAACTACCACTAGTCCACCTTTTTGGTAGTAAAAGGCAAGTGGGATGATTGAATCTTCTGCACTTCAGTTAACCAATCACTCGCCGACGTATTTTCCGCTTTAAGCTTCATGGACGCAATGGAGCAATGTTGATGCAGGCCATGCGTATATTTCGTTTTTTTTTTCGTCTTGAGGTCCTTGATTTTCTTCGAATTTGAAGGCACCAAGGATGCCTTGAGTGCTGGGCCCCGTTCACTAGGCGGCTGGGTAGGCTTCAAAAAGAGCCTTGACACGTTCGCGTAGTTCCTTCGCTGTGCAGTGGTAGACGATTCGCTGGTTCGGAGCAACATGATTGGTGGATTCGTTTTATTTTTTGATGATGACACGTCGTTTTGGCTCACCATCGATTTTAGCTGGAAGATTATAGAGGAGCAACGACTAACCATCTTGTACAGGAACGCAACAATTTTGTGCTAGAGCTAATAAGGCTTTAAATAATTTGGAATGCCCAAAAACTTTATCGAATAAATTTTTGACAATTTGTCAATTGATGTCAACAAAATTTAATAACTTAGGGTGGTTCAGTTTTTTGTTCAGTTGCACCACGTTCCATAACAAAGGTGATTTGAAAATGCGCAAAATGTGAGCAAAACATTATGAACCTATATTAAGACGTCATGTAGGTACCTATACAAATAATTGCCGTTAGATACCTATTCCATGTTTCCTTTGAGAATTTGTAATTTTCCCAATATTTTTATTTGTCCCTCGAGGTTTTTCTATATTCTTTGCGTGAGTTTATGTGGTTTGGTGAAACAATTTGTTAGATATCAGTCAAAGAATTGGTTTTTCTATACTTACAGAGCTTTGGAAAAAATAAATTCACATGAAAGTTGCACAGAAATAGTGATTAGTTTATAGTGGCATGACTCTCTTTGAGCATGCTACCTCATCCAAAGCATTGGCACCAATATCGGATGCCCATTTTATCTTAGTTCAAATATATATCCTGCGATGAATAGATATAAGTTGTGAGAACAAAAAAAAAAAACGAATTCCGAATAGTTATTGGTACCTAATTTTTTTTCACCGTGTTCTTTACATGGTCATTGTTTTATTTGTATTTTGAGATAGGTAGGTACTCGGTTCGAAAATTTTCTCCCGAGTCTAAAAAATAATATCATAATTGCGAAAAAATTTCTCTCAAACGATCAAAAACCTCACAACTGCCTGAGGACGACATTCTAGCTTGGAAGTTTCCAAAGTTGAATGTCTTTTGCAAGAAGATGATGACACGTGAATTTCCTAGAAACAATATATATGAACTTATTATTTGCTACTTAGCAGCGATTGTTAACAAAACTGAAACTGGAGTGAAGTCGTTTCCGTATTTTTTGCCAAACAAACACCTAAAAATTAAAAACAAAAACTGAATAGGTAGGTACACACCTATTGAAGTACATATTTGACAAATCGAATACATAAACTATTAGAAGTGCCTATTTGTTTGACAAAATTCAGAATGATTTGAGCAACCTGATGGCTAATTGGTGGAGAGGGTGTCTTTCTCAACACCACTGGGTGTGACGCTGAATACCTCACTGAATTTCAATTGCCACCTATCGATCTTGATAAATAGGGCACATCAGATGCTGAGATTTATCAGGCGATGCACTGCGGATTTTGGCGGCATTCCTGCATTTGGATGGTTACATCTCGTGATAGTGATATCATATCTGGTGTATGTATGGTCTCTCAATTACAATATTTAGGTATACCTAATATCAAAGCAGGCTCTAAGGGCTAGACTCTTTCTGTATCGAACTTGTTAATCGAAATGCATCCTTTTATTGCTTCCTCTTTTGATTTTGAAAGGACATTCAAGATTATTGGCCATTGGGTAATACATAAATAGCCGTCTATAGTTATATCAAATCCAAGGCGATCCATAACAAAAACCGTCAGACGCGTGATCATTCGTTTGCAGGTGGACAGCAATTTGATTTATTTTGAACAATTTTGGACAAATATTTAATACAATTCTTTCAAAATGCGATTTTAGTTCACATTTTCTACTTGGCAGCAGAGTCATTTCTTGTCAGACAAATAAAAATATTGGGAGAATTAAAAATCCCCAAAGGAAAAATGGTTATGTACCTACCTAACGACAATTATTGGTACCTATATGACGTCTCAATAAAGGTTCCTAATGGAGTTTTGCTCACATTCTGCGCAGGTTCTGATCACACTTGTCAAAGAACGTGTGCAACTGAACCACCCTTAGTTATTGAATCTTGTTGACATCAATTGACCAATTGTCAAAACTTTAATAGATAAAATTTTCGTGCAGTTTAAATTCCTTAAAGCCTTATTAGCTCTACCACAAATTACAAATTTTTGCGTACCTGTACAAGATGGTTAGTCGTTGCTCCTCTATAATCTTCCAGTTAAAATCGATGGTCAGCCAAAACGATGTGTCTTCATCAAAAAATGGAACAAATCCACCAATGATGTTGCCCCGAACCAGCGAATCGTGCACCACTGCACAGCGAAGGAACAACGAGAACGTGTCAAGGCTCTTTTTGAAGCCTATCCAGCCGACTAGTGAACGGGACCCAGCTCTCAAGGCATCCTTGGTGCCTTCGGATTTGAAGAACATCAAGGACCGCAAGACAAAAAAACCCAACTATACGCATGGCTTGCATCAACATTGCTCTATCTCCATTAACCTTAAAACAAAAAATACGTTGGCGAGTGATTGGTTAACTGAAGTGCAGAAGATTCAATCATCCCACATGCCTTTTACCACCAAAAAGATGGACTGAATGTTGCGGATAGTTGACTCGAATTGAGGCGATTAAATTATCTTGTATTCTCTTTACCAAAAAATAGAGTGAACTTAAATTGGCTGTTGTTTTATACATTTTTTATATTTAATATAATAAATTTGGCTTTAATTAATTATATGTGACTTTATTTACACATAAAATCTACCTACCTATACCACACCTATAGAGACCTTATACCTCTTTTCATCTACTCCACCAAACCAGTAAATTGCGCCCACGCATTCTCCACCGTCCACTGTTTTACTATTTATAGATCAAGAACGCCAATTCCATAAAGAACCCATATCTCTCTCTCAGTTTAATGTTACGCTATAGCAAAGAATATTATTACTATATTTATACCTAATAAGCGAAGCCCTTTAAAAAGTGTTCAGCGTACAACACAAGTTTCTAAAATATGGTCATAAAATGAAATATCTGCAAGCTTCTTTCTGTATCGAACTCTGTCTTCAATAGTGAGTTTTCACCTCACGTCAACAGGGACCTTTTTTCATGCCGATATCAGAATTCCCGAGAAAATTATGCTCTTTATTGTATGTTTGTTGTTGCCAAACGTTATTTGTATAACCTTTGTAGTTTTAGAATTAGGGATTTGCCTGGTATTAAGTAATTTGATTAGGCTGACAAAATTTTTCCAGACACTTGAACAGAAAGTGCTTCTCTGAATCCTGTGGGGTTTTTAATCAAAATGCATCCGTTAATGCTGCTTCTTTTAATTTTGAAAGGACATTTAAGATTAGGTAATATATAAATACAGACGTCTGAAGTAATCCAAGGCGAACTAAAACAAACACCGCCAGTCGTTTGCAGGTGGAGAGCACGGTTCTTATTGGTCAATTCTGGTGGCCTCGTGTGCGAGCAGTCAGTTCGCCTTGGATTTGGATGATTTTTTATTTATTATTGTAGAAATAAATTATTCTGTTGAGTTTCTGTATTTTCAGGTGCTCAAATATCTAGCAAAGACATTAATGGTTTAACGATAATTCATTACGCTGTAGATTCCAATGAAATGAAAAATGTCCAGTTTGCCGTTGAAACACAGCTCGATATAAATCAACAAGATCATAATGGTTGGACACCACTTATAAGAGCAGGTATTATAAGTTATGGGATTGTATTTTCCCTTTCAATATCAATTACTGACATTTATTTTCCTGTTTCAGCAATTCAACAATGCAAACCAGAAATATTGGAATATTTGATAGAAAAAGGTGCAGATAAGAGTATTGAAGACAGAAATGGTTTTGGCTATGAAAAACATTTGGAACTAAGCAATGACATTGGGGATAAATAAGTGATCTACACAATATAGTGAACGGGACCCAGCTCTCAAGGCATCCTTGGTGCCTTCGGATTTGAAGAACATCAAGGACCGCAAGACAAAAAAACCCAACTATACGCATGGCTTGCATCAACATTGCTCTATCTCCATTAACCTTAAAACAAAAAATACGTTGGCGAGTGATTGGTTAACTGAAGTGCAGAAGATTCAATCATCCCACATGCCTTTTACCACCAAAAAGATGGACTGAATGTTGCGGATAGTTGACTCGAATTGAGGCGATTAAATTATCTTGTATTCTCTTTACCAAAAAATAGAGTGAACTTAAATTGGCTGTTGTTTTATACATTTTTTATATTTAATATAATAAATTTGGCTTTAATTAATTATATGTGACTTTATTTACACATAAAATCTACCTACCTATACCACACCTATAGAGACCTTATACCTCTTTTCATCTACTCCACCAAACCAGTAAATTGCGCCCACGCATTCTCCACCGTCCACTGTTTTACTATTTATAGATCAAGAACGCCAATTCCATAAAGAACCCATATCTCTCTCTCAGTTTAATGTTACGCTATAGCAAAGAATATTATTACTATATTTATACCTAATAAGCGAAGCCCTTTAAAAAGTGTTCAGCGTACAACACAAGTTTCTAAAATATGGTCATAAAATGAAATATCTGCAAGCTTCTTTCTGTATCGAACTCTGTCTTCAATAGTGAGTTTTCACCTCACGTCAACAGGGACCTTTTTTCATGCCGATATCAGAATTCCCGAGAAAATTATGCTCTTTATTGTATGTTTGTTGTTGCCAAACGTTATTTGTATAACCTTTGTAGTTTTAGAATTAGGGATTTGCCTGGTATTAAGTAATTTGATTAGGCTGACAAAATTTTTCCAGACACTTGAACAGAAAGTGCTTCTCTGAATCCTGTGGGGTTTTTAATCAAAATGCATCCGTTAATGCTGCTTCTTTTAATTTTGAAAGGACATTTAAGATTAGGTAATATATAAATACAGACGTCTGAAGTAATCCAAGGCGAACTAAAACAAACACCGCCAGTCGTTTGCAGGTGGAGAGCACGGTTCTTATTGGTCAATTCTGGTGGCCTCGTGTGCGAGCAGTCAGTTCGCCTTGGATTTGGATGATTTTTTATTTATTATTGTAGAAATAAATTATTCTGTTGAGTTTCTGTATTTTCAGGTGCTCAAATATCTAGCAAAGACATTAATGGTTTAACGATAATTCATTACGCTGTAGATTCCAATGAAATGAAAAATGTCCAGTTTGCCGTTGAAACACAGCTCGATATAAATCAACAAGATCATAATGGTTGGACACCACTTATAAGAGCAGGTATTATAAGTTATGGGATTGTATTTTCCCTTTCAATATCAATTACTGACATTTATTTTCCTGTTTCAGCAATTCAACAATGCAAACCAGAAATATTGGAATATTTGATAGAAAAAGGTGCAGATAAGAGTATTGAAGACAGAAATGGTTTTGGCTATGAAAAACATTTGGAACTAAGCAATGACATTGGGGATAAATAAGTGATCTACACAATATAGTGATTGCATTTCGTAGTTTGTTTGATGGCTATGTAAAATAATTCAAAGTTGCATTGATTTCCTACTGGTGGAACATTCAACAGATTCTGCTGGGTTGAAACAAAATTTTAGCATTCATGACAAAAATTAACAATTCAGATTTTCTTAAAGTTTTTAAGATATTGTAAGTGATATTTTTTCCACCCTCCAAAGAACTGTGGCTATATCTTGAAATGAATTTTCTTTGAAATTGCAAAGAAACTCTTTTTTTCAAAGAATTATTATTAAAAATTGTAGCAGCCCTGCATAATTAAGCTGCTGCGGACCTGGCAATTTTTTTCTGTTATTCTGTGTTTTAATATATGTACTTATGTATAACTACATCAATTGAAAGATACATTGATAACTGAATTTTTATTTTGGATAAAAATTATAAAATCGAGTTAATTCTTTTTCATTAACTGAATGGATAGACACAATATAATATAATATAATTTAATATACAATTTATTCTTAGTACTAAACTATTTAAAATCCAGTAGCTTTTAGCCCACAACAGACGTAATCAAGTCTGAAACTCCTTCATCTTGCGATCTCACCGTCAATTGCATTGTAACTCCATCTGCCAGCGCCAATTTGGCCCTCACCAAAATATCAATACCGCCTCGGAATATTCCAGCTAAAAGTAAAGTGTGCGTAGTTTTATCTTTAGGTACTTTATCGCTTCTTTCCGCTGGCTGTAATCCTAAGAACTTAATAATATTGCCAACAGCTTCTTCTAAACTATTCATCGAACTGAGAGCATAAGTGTCCTCCATTTCATAAGAAGAAGCTTCAGCTTCTTCCCACGCGGCACCCCAATTGGCTTTGCTGACTTTTTGGATTTGGTCGCCAAGAGTTACTTCCAGGTCTTCCAGCATATATTCATCATCATATCCTGCGTCAATGTCTGGTATTCCAGTAGCTGGATCACAATCTTTCACAAGAAATTTAAGAACGGCGCCAAATGTGCCAATACTGTTTTGTAAATCGTCTTCAGGGAACTTCAGAATTATGTAAACTGTGCCAGTTTCATTGTAAGGCAACTTGGGACAAGGAATTTCTTTGATTATTTCATAGCCTGAAAACAAAACAAATTTGACTACAGTGATAATTGGACAAAATAAATGCTTACCTTCACTTGGATCCAACTGCACCCTTACATTTTCTAGTAGTTGATCATCAAGTGTGTTCAGACAATCAAACTGAAGTACAATATGTCTGGCGTATGAATGTTTGACACATCTAACTACATATTCTGTTTCGGATTCTGTCAGTTCAACTACCTCTGAACTTTTAAATAGTGAACCTAGGAGGTTGACATCTGAAAAGGAAGGAGAAAAAATTATATCCTTAGTATCCAGTTATAAAATTGTGTGTTTAGTGTTTTAATACAACTGAGCAATCAATCGCTTTACATCCGGGTTTTTAGAACTCTGATTTTGCTCCCTTTATGAGAACCAAATTCTCTATTAACAAAATGTTTTCTCTATCATACAAAATCTTTCCAAAGTGGGGTCGTTTTCCCAAACGACACACACCAACTGGTTAATACCATACTATACAATCTCTTGTACAGGGTGGCGCGAAATGAACGTTATGATTTGATTGTTTTATAACTTTTTTATTAAAATTTTTAATTTCTCTTTCGTTTCAGAATTTTGTAAAGAAAACTCAATAATTGTTATTACGCAGCGTGCATATCGTCATTTTAATGTGCGTGTTGGACCCTCCGTGCCAACAATAAATCGTCTGGTTGTAAATTTTCAGCAACAAGGTTCAGTAAGGAACCTCCGTGGTGCTGGAAGATCACGTAATGAAATCCGTACCATAACTCCTGAAACTTTGCAAAAAGTCACGCAACATTGTGTCGGAAAGAGCACGACTTTGCGAAGCAGAAAATGGCAGATACTTGCGAGATGTCATTTTTCACATTTGAGTCAAAAATTTTCTCCATTCATAAACTGTGTTAAAAAAAATAAATTACCAATTCACTTAAAAATAAAAAAAAGTTATAAAGCATTCAAATCATAATGTTCATTTTGCACCACCCAACAAGAGTTTGCATCCCCCTAAGCAGTAGTTGAGTTTTGTACTTCGATCATGAAACCAACAGTACAGTTTCCAGTTTTTAAGGCCTGGATCTAAAGAGTTATACAAGGAAACTGCACATAAAGCTACGGTGAACCATTGCAGCAATAGCAGTTATGAATTGCTAAGCAAAACCAAGGTTTTCCCTCAAGTATATACTGGCAAGCCAGTGCATAATATTATGGTCTATAACATAGCAAAACGCAATGTTACAGTACATATATTATATTATATTTGGTCAATTATGCTATCCTATTTGTCGTCAAACTTTCTGAGGTTATAAATTAAACAATAACCAATGTTTTATACAATCTGCAAACAATTTTTTGCAGCCAAAAGCAGGCAGGGGTGAGACACAATACTACAGAAATGATATATGGGTAAAACCGACAACTCACAAAGCTTTTTTTTTCATCTTAAAATTTGGAATAAACCTATTTGCATAATTTAGAACTTTAATCTTCCGTAAGTTCCTCCTTAAGTTCTCTGAAGCAGTTTCTTAACGTGCTTCTTGGATGAGGAAGTATCTATATAAATGCCCAAATTTGTTGAGCAAGACGAAAAGCTCAAATTTCCATTACCTAACCTTGATTTATGTCTGGAACATTAGTCCTCGTTTTTCTTGCAATATAATAAAACTTCGGAATCTCAATTTATTGTCGCTTCATTAGCGTGAGAATGATCAAAACAGAATAGCTATTGTGCATCGTCAGCGATCGCTATCGAAAGGATTCGATGTGAGAGTTGCCAATTACTTTAAGAATATCAAAGATATAAATTAAAAACTGTGGTCCAACACCAAAGCTTGTGGGTCGCTGGACACAATATTTCCTGTAGATGACTAATTCTTGCACACTCACAGTGTGTACATAAATAGCTTTCAAAAAAAGCCAACGGAAAACAGATCATAGCCTCGCGCGACCTCATTGAACCAGTTTAAGAACAGACTAGATGTCGGAATGCAACAATGGTCAAACCATGATGTGCATTATAATTATGTGATACCACTGTGATAAATAGTTGCGATGATACATAAAGATTAATACTAAACTGTAATCGAATCAATAGTCTCATCGGGTTTACTAGATAATAATAAGATAATAATAGCCCAGAAGTTTCAAATTAGCACAAAGCATTACTTGGACATATTTTTTTTTTTGCACCACAAGATAAATAAAATTGTACACGTGCATTTGGGTAAATACTTTTTCATTTTTGGAACACACTCAAAGAAGTTGTTTATTCTGCCAGGGTTCATCAAATCGGGAGTTCTGGTATCTTTGTGAAGCTGGGTAGACATTCATATTTTTCAGACCACTCAAAAACATTGTGGGGGTGAAACACCTTGGAAGGTTCATAATTATTCATCGATTTGGCCAACACAAACAGACATTCACTTCTTATGAATAAGAGTCTACTACTATGAGCCTCACATTTTTGAAAGAAGGTACTCGGTAATCAAACCGGAAGCTCTCATTTAGGTATGCATAGAAAACTTTTCGCAGAGTAGAAGCTCACAAGTTTGAGCTTGTACTTATATTTTTACTTAGGCAATGTAACACATAGGTACTTAGCATAAGTTCAATTTGATGTCTTTCATACAAACGATGGATAATTAATTTCACACTACTTAAAGTATGTATAGGCTCAGATGCTTTCAGCTTATTTTTTAATAGAAAAATTCTTAAACTTAATTACTTTGAGCAATGTCAAGAATCGAACCTGTTGGATAAAGCTCACGTCCCTTTCCAATGAATATACCAGCGCATAATTTAGATACTTTAAAAGTAACCCCCCCCCACCACTGTTCAAAAAATTCAATGGGTATCTAACCCACCTGCTAAAGTCTTCTGACAAAATTTTTCAAAACTGTACCTGGTAAAGCAGACAATCTTTCTGCGAAGTTCTCTTCCCTAGAAGCGGGTGGCGCTCTAGCAGGACCATTACTTATCAACATCCCTTCAGATTTCTGCTTCACTTCGTGCTCATCTGGTTTGGTTACAGCTGCCACTGGAACAGCCTTAATATCAAATGGCTGATCTGTATTTGACTGTGAATATTCTTTTAATGACCTCTCCAATGCCGGAATGGAAACCTAAACTCAATCCAATTAGAAGCAGTTATTTTCCAGAACAAACAAAACTTACTTGTAATGTATCCAGGACGTAATTGTTGTACAAACTTTTATCATTTCTGTTCAAGATGCTGCTGTAATATGTGGCTCTGTCTCTAACTTCATCATCAGAATCCATCTGACAACGAGCTAATAAAACCTGGATGTTTTCGAGGAGATTTGGACAAGATGCACCAAACTGCGCCATTGCAGATACAGCTGCTGCTCTTATTGAAGGACATTCCAGTATTACACGGTTGTAAATAAATCTTATGTATCTAAAAGAGGACGATCAATTTATTATTAGAGTTATAGGAAAGTGTTCCTATTTTTCAATCTGGGAAGCCAGAGGTTCTTATTGTACCTGTTGTATTTAATTTTCCAAATATTAGACACGCAGGCAAAACAATAAACCAATTATTCTATTCTATCAAGGAGTACTACAAAGGCTTTCCAGCTTATGGATATTCCTTTTCCAATAAAGCTCTAATATTTACCGTACCGTTTTTGAGCAAACTGCGAAGTTTTTTACTAGGCACCATCTCAAACCCTCAAAAATCTCTATAATTTCAATTCCCAAATAAAACAACTGCCAATCGGATAATCGCGCTTTAGTAAACAAACAAAATGGGAAGGGCATGCCGCATGCCTTGGATATTTTCAGCATTAATGGTAATTGCCCGCTCACAATACATTCTCGCTAGTCGCCAGACACTAATCAGCCCAATCGTGCTACTTGTACACATATCGAGCTGCACAGTTCAGTTATTATTATAGGTACACATAAATGACTAGGCAACAGTTTGGTTTGAAAAAGTCCCACCATTTGGAGGTGTTTATGAGCAGAGGTTTCACTGTACTCACATGAACTGGATGATATTCTCAATCATGTTAATAAAAATATGCATTAACCATAGAAAAATTTCCAGATGCAAATTTGAAGTTAACAGTAGATTTGGAAGCTTGGAAGCTCAAGCTCTTACCATAAATTTCTTATAACTATTAATTTTTTACACCCTGGCGTACAAATACGAGTACAAAGATTATTAGGTACTAGTCTAACAAACTCAATGCCTCGCTCAATGCAATGCTTGTGACCTGGTAATTGTTTATCCATAAGTACATTTATTAATCATTTGAAGATGTGCAGTTGACCTTTTTTTCTAACTCAATAATATTTAATATTAGATAATTAATTTATAAACATTGTGTATTCTTTGATCTGCACTCTTTCAGATAAATTGCAAATCTGGTTCTAGTTCGAAAAAATGTGTTTGAAATAAAATTAAAGAGTATGAAACATCTAGAGAATTTGGCTAAAACTGGACTCTTCTGAATGAAGGATATGGAATGTGAAAAGTCCGAGTATACAAGATTTTCTTACCTTGACGGTTGTTTGGTTTTAGGTCCCTCCTTACCCAACAAATTCAAGATTCTAACAGCAAGGGATATATGCTCACAATCTTCAATAAATTCACAAAGATGTGCCAAACCAGTCTCTTTAGCTTCTGGATTGTCTTCAATGATAGTAATGATTGTGTCCGCTATTGAAGCTTTATACTCTAAACCTCCTTCATCTCTGAGCATTGCAGACAAGAAATTCATCAGGACACTGTGTTTCCTAGGGAACTTTAGGGCTAAGGCTTGAATTGCTTGAACAACTACAACTTTGAATTCATCGCTTATCTCTGATACAAAAGAGGCTATTTGTTTCATTAGACGATCTACTGAGGATTCGGCACCTGAAAGTGTTTTAATGAAAGTTAATTGATTTCAGACTGTATTAAAAAAAAGAAATAAAATACTGGAGTTTTGTCCTGCTTGTAGACTCTTTTACCTACCTGTTTTTAGAAGAGTAGTAATCGCCAAAGTTGCTATCGACCTATTCGAGTCAGTAATCAGATTCTCTAAATCTATATTACAAGCAGTTACAGCTGTAGGATGAGAAATAGCTACTTGATTTAAAGTTCTCACAGCAGCAAATCTAAAATAAAAAAGATGTAAATCAAACAATACTTTTTCTAAATGTGATATAAATACCTCAGTGTCGGTTTAGGTGCTCCACAGAACAACTGCAAAACACTTATGGCTTGAGCAAGTTCTCTACTAGAGGTACGATCTAGATTCACAATAGCATGGGCAGCTTCATAGACAACCATTTCAGATTTATGACGGAAACAAGATTCGATGTATTCAAAATATGGAGAATTACTGTCACTGCCTTCTTCTTCGATCAGTTTAGCAGAAATCCTGATCTAAAATTGAGCATCATATATTATTAAGTACACACACAGTTGAAACGCCGCTCACCAACATACAAACAGCATAAGGACTCTTCAAAGACATTCTTGTCAGTCTAGAAACTAACTTTGTAACCGCTAATCTGTCAGTTTTTCTGATATGATATAAAAGGCCCAAAGCGTGATATTGTACCATAATGCTGAAATATGTATGGATTATAGATAGGTGTAAGATAGTTAAGTTAAGAAAAAAATGTTTGACACTCACTTGTCACTGTTAACAGCTTCTTGTGCTTCATTTACCCATCTTTTAACAACCTCTGGTGCAAATTTTGTCATATGCAAAGAACTGACTAATGCTGCAGAGCTAACTGCAGGATTACGATCGACAATGGCTTGTTTCATGTATCTTTCAATGGCTTGTAACATTGTTGCATCTAAAAGTTTATTTGAAAATAAAAGAAAAACTTGGTATTATATTTTTTTACCTGTAATACTGCATAATGCCCTTATTGCAGCAGCTCTATACATATCTTCTTTGCCAGTCATATCCTTAGTCAAACTGGATGTAACAATGATAACATCATCTGCAATAGAGCTTAGCTCCTTGATTCCAAGATACACTAGTCTTCGAAGTATGACGTCTTTTGACTGAAATAGTTTTGTCATAGCGAAGAAAACATCTGTGGCTTCTTTTGCACTCAGTTGTTCACCCTGATGAGGACAATGTTTATGTAACTTGCAATTTTTGTGACTATTGAATGCAAAAATTATTATTGCAGAGGAAATGAGACTCAAACAATTTATTATAAAAGAGTTTCAATCAATTTATCATTTGAAAACTAAAATAACAATTGACAGTACCTACAGACAACAGAAGAATCTGGATGATGTGATGATACTGTTTTGTAAAAGTTGTGATATTAAAGTATCTGTGTGCAATAATCCCTTACTCAAGCTGGACTTACCACACCCAGCGTTTGAATGCAATTTTTTATTGACCAAAGAGCCCCCAAACCTTTCTTGTGACAATTTTTATTTAAATTTTAAACATGCTGATTTCAGCGAAATAAATTTTTATCTTTCCTGTACTGACTGGGATTCAATTTTTGAGTGCACAGATGGAATACTGTGGTTTCTAAGTTTTATAATGTACTCTACGACATCATTGAAATTTTTACCCCCTTATCTAGATTCAAAACACCAAAGTTTCCAAAGTGGATGCCTGATAACTTAAAAAATTTAATTATACAAAAAAAAATCGCTCACAAAAATTATAAATACACACATTCACAAGAACACTATGATCAGTTTGCTACTTTAAGATCTGAATGCCATAATATTTCTCAAACATCATATAAAAACTATGTGAAAAATTTAGAAAATCAACTGCATGATAGGCAATCTTTTTGGAGCTTTGTGAAATCAAAAAAAGGCGGCACAGAATATCCAAAATGCATGACTTTTGATGGATGTGAATCTGACGATGCCCAGGAAATCACGGAGATGTTTAGATCTAATTTCTCTTCTGTGTACTCGAATTTTGATGGTCCAGCAACCAATTTACTTTTGGATTATGACAAATGTGTAAATTTAAGTTGTTTAGAGTTTTCCACTATTGATGTTTTTAATAAGATTGAGAAAATGAAGAAAAATTTGGGAATGGGTCCTGATGGGATTCCCGCGTCTGTGTTGTAAATATGTTTTATCTGTCATTTTATGTAAGATTTTTAATTTGTCCCTAAGTACAGGAGTTTTTCCAGATTTTTGGAAAAAATCCTTTGTTTCACCTATTTTTAAGGATGGTGACAGAGCTGATGTCAAAAACTACAGAGCTATTAGTAGGATCTCTTTAATTGCTAAACTATTTGAATCACTGGTTGCTGATAGTTTGTCTCATCTCAATAGGATCATAATGAATGAACAGCGCGGTTTTATGAAGGGGAGATCCACTGTAACTAATCTCTTGACCTATGAGCAGGCTCTGTTGGGTGCCTTTGAGAATAAGTATCAGGTGGATGCTATCTATACTGACTTCTCGAAGGCATTTGACAGAGTGGATCACAGAATTTTGTTATCCAAGCTAAATGCTGTGGGACTTTCTGGCTCTTTTTTTAGGTAGTTCGAAAGCAATCTGGAAGACCGAAGACAGGCTGTTAAAATGAAAAATTTTACATCATCTGAAATTGTAGTGACATCAGGGGTACCTCAAGGGGGGCATTTGTCAACCATACTTTTTAATTTGTGTGTGAATGATGTTAAATCGATTTTCAAGGACTGTGATTTTAGTGTGTTTGCTGATGACTTTAAGATTTATAAGATTGTGATCGATGCGCTGGACTGTCGATCTTTGCAAGAACAACTTAACTTGTTTACCACATGGTGTTCAGTAAATAATCCTCAACTAAATGTCAAAAATAGAACGTTATCACATTCAGCAGAATCAAAAACCCAATCACTTTTAATTACTCAATTAATAATTTAGAGTTGAAAAGAAAAACCTTAGTTAAAGACCTCGCCGTTTGGATAGAGAGTGATCTATCATTTAACACTCATATTGAAAAAACCACAAACAAAGCAATGAGGATGCTCGGGTTTGTCTTTCGAACTCTGAGAGAAATTGATAATATTTTTACTTTAAAGAAATTCTTTTGTCTTAGTACGTTCACTGTTGGAGTGCGCTAGTTCCGTTTGGCAGCCTTATTATAGTGTACACAGGCAGAGTTTGGAAAGGGTGCAGAGAAAATTTCTTAGGAGGGTTGGGCTTAAGATGGGTATTCCTTAAGAAGATATTAACTGTGATGACTTAATGTAGCTCTTAAATCTCACTCCTCTTGAGAATAGAAGACAATTATTTGATGTCTGTACCCTTTTTAAGATTTTGCATGGCATAATAGACACCCCAGATCTTCTTGCAGATATTGACTTCCATATTCCCTCTAGGACCTCTCGTCGGAAAGAGTTGTTTAGCCTTTCTTTTCATAGGACCAATTATGGTGTTAATATGCCCATAGATAGAATGTGTAGGATTGCAAACTTAGTGTTACAAAAAAATGAAGACATTGATATTTTTGACTGTGATTATAAGACTTCCTGTAGGCAATCTAAGGATATTTTACTTTAGTATTAAGTGTTTTTATATGTTTCACTTTTCACTTTTAAGTTTTGAATTTTATTTATATATTTTTTAATTTTAATATTTATGGAACGGTCAGTTCGCCATCTTGCTCCTGTCGTTTTTGTTATGTGTGTATTTTATACCTATGGACAAGCCGAAAATGTTCTATTTTAAAATTTTAATTTTTTTTTTATAATCTGTAAATGCTACATGCGTTATTAAAGATTTTGATTTTTGATGACAATATTAGGCCTATAATTGTGTTACGAGGTTCAACCTCGTTCAACCGAAAATTATTCTGAAATTTTGTATAAAGTTTCTACTACATATGGGATCCAAGCAAGGGATGATGAGAGATGAGATCACCAAATTGCAAGAGATATATTTATTTTTTTAAAACAAATCGAAGACATTTCGATGGGGAGCTACTAGCTGTAGCTATTATCATTAAAATTCGAGTGTCGCTGGTTCAATTTTACTACATGAAAACCACATTTGTGATAATTGTAATCAAACAGAAAAGTAAATACAGTATATTTCATACAGATAGTAATAGTTTACTTTCTCTTAAGCATACTTAGAATGGTAGTCATAGTGGGAATTACATTAGTTTAGCAGTTCAGCATCAAATGAGGGTTGTTATTCAACCGAATGAGGGTAGTTATCCAACCGACCAATAGGATTATACATTAGGTTTTTTTTTCGTCAAAATGCATCAACTATCATTAGCTGACAGTTTATCAGAAAGGTAGTAAAGCATGCCTCGCAACATAGTAATTGATAAATTAGATCTGATTTTAAACAAAAAGTTAACCTAGCCAACTCTGAGGGCAATTCATTTATTTTTAGGAAATAGTTTGACAATCTCTGCAAAAGATAACAAAACAAGGACTAACATTAATATCAACATTTTTTAGGTAAGATCTTTCATAGGTACCTATCACTTGACTTTTTAATTGGGGATCATGCTTGTATTCATCACCATAAACTACTTGAGGTGAAGTACCCAATTGTTGACAGGGTTCCAAAAGTTGACACATTAGCATAATATTCCCGAAAATAAGAATTTAAAGAGGTTATAAGCTAACTGAAACAGCTTATAGTATCAGTGGAGGCATCTTGCGTGCTATATCTGATGTATGAATTTGACATCACAAGTTTTTTCAAAATGGTGGCAAGTAGGAGTAAACAGGTGCAATTGTTTGAACTTGTTCTCAGATTTCTAGTGAAAATAGTTAAGAAGACATAAAAACAAAAGTTCTCAAAGCTAAGGTAGGGTTGATAATTTATGAATATTAAATATTCACTGTATGATAAGAAACATTGTGATACATATTTATTATTGTTTTATCTCTTAAAAAAGTAGCAAAAACTTTTTAAAGGTGGGGGGGGGGGGGGTGTCGACTATTGGAGCCCAAATCAACGGGTAATCCAAATTTGACACTAGTGTCAACTTATGGATTTTTGGGGGTAAAAATATTTTAACATTGTAGTCTGTCTCTTTTTATTGCACTGAATTTAAAAGAAACTTAGATATGGGTTTGGGGAATGTCAAATTCAAAATTCAAATTCAAAAAAAGCTTTATTGTCCAAAATAAGTATTTACTGACAAATCCAAGTCTTACCATCTAATTAATAAAACAGTCTTATCAAAATGATACAATAAACAAAATACATGCAATAAAAATCTAAATTATAAGTGTACACAAACTAGTCAATATAAATTAGGTTTGTCATAATGATTAAAAAGTTATAATAACTAAAAATAACAATGGATATTACAATTAACAACAAGACATTGATTTTTATGCAGCAAAATTAAAAGAAAAACACACATTATAATATGCCCGACTAGAAAGGAACTTTTTAATTTTGCCTCGAAATCCTTTAAAGGTATTTATATCCTTTTATTCATTTGGCAAATGATTGTACATCTTTTTGGCACTATATATGAAACTTTTTCTAATTTTGCTGCTCTGCGGAATCGGCAACGGAACATTACCAGCTCGCCGAGCACTGTAACGCCCCACTGGAATAGAGCTTTTATATTTTTTGTAAACCAAACATACACTCTCTGCAATAAAAACACATGGCAATGTCAGGAGTCCTTCCCTCAGAAAGCATGGTTTACAAGATTCACGGTATGTTAAACCGTACATAAAGCGCAGCGCTCTTTTTTGCAAAACAAAAACTGAATTAAACATATAATCGGAGCAACCTCCCCAGAAAGCAATTCCGTAACGTAAATGTGACTCGATCAGAGCATAGTAAGCCATCTTAACTACCTGTGGTTCAAGATTTTTTGCTATGGTTCTTAAGGCATAACAGCCAGATGACAGTTTATTCAACAGTTTTTCAATGTGATTACTAAAGTTAAGCGAACTATCAACATGTATCCCAAGAAATTTTACACATGTCGTAGGGTTGAGTGTAATTGTTTCAATTTGAATTTCCTGTAAATCACATTTGAAAGTCAGAATATTAGTTTAACATTAAGCGTTAAGAAGTTGCTGTCAAACCACCTCTTTATTTCCTGCAAATCTTTTTCGATTCTATAGTTAAGAGAAGAATTGGTCTAGTCACGCCAGAGAATGGTAGTATCATCAGCAAAGAGAGTAAATGAGCCTGATATATCAATATTGGTGATATCATTAATATACAGGAGGAACAAGATTGGTCCCAGGACAGAACCCTGAGGTACCCCACAATTGATATTTTGAACATCTGACATTTTTCCCACTATGGAAACAGTCTGAGTTCTTTCCGACAAATGTGACGGTCATAGATCCAATTGATGACACCCTGTCAATGTTTGGAGCTTTAGAGTGTCAACAATTGGTCCTGCCAGGATAAAATCATGAGATGGCTTCTGAAAAATGGAAATTGCTAAAATATGCATCAGAACTACTAGAAGACATGATTGCTGCCTTGGATGATTGCGATAGGGGGGCTTACTGTAGCTACATCAGCAAAAAACATAATGTACCAATGTTTTCTAAGCCATTTCTTTAATTACCAATTTGGAATGAAATTTGTATTTTTTCCCAACAAAAAGTTTCCCAATGTAATTTTTTATTAATAGAAAGTTTGATTCTTACATTATTGATGTTTCTACCAGGTTTTCTACTGATACAGACAACATGTCAACTATTGGGTTCAAGAGTGTCAAGTAATGGACCCACGACATGTATTTAGAAGGAAAAAAATTAATCGGTCATTTTGTGCATATCAAGGTGCATATACCTATTTCATTAAAAAAATTATAAAATTAGAGAAATATACTTTTTAGTTCCACACACCGTGAAAAAGTTCCCTAAAAGTAAAAATTTGGTTTTGTAAAAAAATATATGTCAACCTCTGGACCTCGTTCTGGACTAAAAATGTGTCAACTTTTGGCGAAGTGAACTTTTTTGGGTGTCAACTATTGGGGTTTTATCACCTTTCAGGTCATTTTGGCATAATAACACAAATAGGAAGAATATAGGGTAAATATTATATTTAAACATTCAATTGTGTTTGAAATCACGCCAAAAAATATATCAAAGCCTTGGGTTTGAAAATTTGGAAACTGTGTGGTGATCATAAGCAAGGATATCCTTAACATGTCAACAATTGGGTACTTCGCCCTACCTCAGTTTATTGGATATAAAAATCAAATCATATTCTGTTAACCTACTAGTAGCCAAGAACTGAAATATTGCAAACAACACGAACCTTCTCTATCACTTGTTCTGTTGGCAAATTAATGGCTACCTACTTATTTATACATAATACATCTAAAGGTGGGTTTATCCTACAAATAAAATAAAATAAGAAAGTTAAAAGATAGCCAACTTTTTTTATTTTATTTTAATTTTTTTGGTAGAACTATCGTCTATCACATATAAAATAATACCTCTTCTCTTAATTCTTATTTTAATTTATTTCTTATTTTATTTGTTAGATAAATCCGCCATAAGTGATCATTGCAAATCGTAGATTAGGAATAGAATAATAATTGAGTAGTAAAATATTCAAGTAATTGTTTTTACCTGATTTAGCATGTAAAGTAGCTTCGTAAGGATTGGTGTACATTTTCTAGGATTGACAGAGGTTTCATTGAAAATCCTGGCTTCCTGAAGCACTGAAGTTTTCTCAATATTTTGGAAAGGATTGCCTCCCCCTGAGAAAGACAAGAAAATGTAAATGAATAAAAATTAAAAATTAATAACATAGAGAGCAAATTGATTTTCATACCGTCCTCTTCCTCTTTCTTTTCCCTTTTAAATGCACTCATTTTTATGAACCGAAATCGCTGTTGTTTCTTAATAGTTACAATTTTCTTTTATCCGCCTGGAAATTTGGAATAACCTGCTGGAATACAACTCAAAATTTCCACGTCAAATCGAACAAACAAACAAATCTGTCACTGTCGAAGTGTCAACTGTCACTGTAGAAATAACAAACCCAAAAGTCCTTTTCATATGGGGGCTTCTTAACACTGACCGGATTACCACTGGTTACCAGATGGCTACGAGTCACTTTCCAGGGACGCACTTCAAGCTCTCCTGAGCTGCTCTAAAGCGCCCCGGGCTGTTTATAGGCGTTCCAGTGCATAAGAGTTTCGCGCAACTGCAGTGTTCGTTTTTCCTCTCCCCTGCCCTTTCAAGCACCAGCAATTTTATGGGTGCATCAAAAACACGTCGCTTAAAGTAAAGTGCGTTCCAGTGAAACGACGGTTGTTTGGAGCACCAGAGTGTGGGTGCGTACGTTTGCCAGTTCTCGAGTCGGCAGCAGGTCTGCGGGTGCCTTCACCACTATCAGCAGGATGATAGTGGGTTACCACTATCAGCAGGATGATAGTGGTGACGTGACCCGTATACGTCGATGGATCACTTCAGGCTGTTTGTAGTTGAGTTTCCAGTCGATTAAATGTAGAAAAAGTGATTTTACCGAATTCGTTTTTTTGACCTATATACTTTTAAACCCGAATAATGCATCTCACGCCAAGAGTTGATGTCTGCGGCTGACGTCACAAATAGTGGGAAGTTGTCAAGGATAATACACTCTACTACTACAGGATAGCCTATCCTCATCAGGCCTGTGTAGATCAAATCTCAATCCCCCTATCACGCCAAAGAACCAGTGATGACGTAGGCAGCTTGTCGTTTCTCGTCTTGACGTAGGGTGTTTGCAACAGCTCCGGGGCTTCACGCGCTTATTCCTTTCGAATAGTGTTTGTTGCACCACGAATATGTTCCCTGCAAATCGGGGGCGACTAAGCACCGAAGCGAGTAGCTCGAGTGTTTCAAGCTCTTGAAAGGAATACAACTTATGATTCAGCGGGCTTTTGCCTAATGCATACTAGAGGCGTTTTCTCGCGTCCACTTTTTCGAAACTTGTTCAAAACTGTTTTGAAACAGTACATTCTCGCGATAAACCCATGACGTCACGTCAAAATTGGTTCAAACCATTTCGAAATACAATCCAATCCACGTTTTCAAACCATTTTCTCGCGCCGAGGAATAATGATGTCATGGAGACATTACTTAAACCAGTTTTGAAAAATGTTTGGAAACATTTGAGACGCGAGAAAACGCCTTTGGTTTTATTGGTTTTAGTACATAAATTACCATTCTAAAACAACTCTTTTTTAGATCTCGTTTGCACCTTCCTCTTTGCCTATTATGTTAATCAAAATTAAACAAAATTTTTCATCATTAATTTATATTCTAAACTACGACTGCTGGCGCAATCATCCGAAGACGTAGTTGATGACGTCGTTAATGGTGCTACACAATATGGCCGAGAGGTTTTCTGATAATTTTATGACGTCATCTGGAGTGCCTCAACATAATGCAAATCTCCATAAGGCACCCCGAATGCGTCATCAAGTTACCCATTACCTGACAACCGACAACCTATGAGCTTTAGGAACCTTGGCCGAGATTCCCAAAATCGAGTCCGATAAGTAATCCTGTGTAGTAGTGTCAAAGATAATCCTATTCAGAATAGGATTATCTTTGGTAGTGTGTATTATCCTTGGGAAGTTGTCGGGTGAACATGACAGACACTAGAGGCGATTACGAAAAGTAATCTAAAATGGTAGGGTAGATCCAATCAGCTGTTCCTAGGTTTACCCGACCCGAGTTATACTTTTCGAACGTGTCCAGTCGAATGAACATATTATCCTTATTCTCATTTTTTTTACCTCCAGCTAAAATCTTGTGATAATCCTTCTCTGTGGGGAGGATGTTAAGCTCCTCTTCTGTGAAGGGGTCAATAAGTGTTCTTTTCTTTTCTGATTCTAACTTTAATTGGAAAAATAAATCTCAAAAGCGATCAGCTGATTGAGGGCGGGTATTATAAAACTGCTTTGACAGTTAACTTAAAGTTAACTTTTTGAATTACATGTAATTCCAGAAGTTAACTGTAAGTTAACTCTCAAAGTAGTTTTATAATACCCGCCCTTAACCGTATAAATAAACCTCGCGAACCCTGCTCTTTTGTAGGGTTAAAAAAAATTGCCCCGAGTCGTGGATCTGATCTATTTTCGGACACAGGTCAGGTTTACTCGATCCATTTTCGAACGCCCTTTGGGAGATCGAGTTAACCCCGGGTTACTTTTCGTAAACGCCTTAGGCTATTTTTCGCGACAAAATTTTTTCAAAGATTATGTTCGATTATGGTAATATTCATTTGTTCTCAACGGAATGAACAAGTGAAAATGAATTAACTGAATCTCAATAGAGCTATCATTTCAGTTTCACTTTAGTTGTGTGAAGTTGTTACAAAAGTAGACGTTTGTTTACATTCTATTCTTCATAAATATAGGAAGTGATCGGCCATCCGTGGTTATGCTTGAGGGAAAAGCGGACAGGAAACATCCGTCCACTTCATTAGTTTAGAAGCTGGAGTGGCGGAACTGACCGGAGACGAAAGACGAAAGAAGATGCCACAAGTGAACAACAGATAAAGTTAAAGCAATAAAGCAATCAATTTGTGCAGAACGAAAGAATACACCTTGGCTCATATGAATAAAACAGAAGCAAATGCTTTTACTTAAGTTTTTTGAGATAAACATATTCAGCTTTAATGCAGCAGAGAGAGAAGGTGGTAGAGTATTTGCTACATTTTAATCATACGACTGCTTATGTCGGGTTATCCTCGGTAATTTTAGGATTACCTACCCAACAAAATCGAACATAATCTTTGGAAAAATTTTCTCACGAAAAATAGCCTACTTTCAGCTCAATAATGCGGGTTTTCCACCGAACGGACAAAACAAAAACAAAGCTCAAACTCGTGTCGAATAAAGTAAAACTCAAAATTTTCCCAAACATTTTGAAGACTAGCGTGTTTTCAGGTGGAGTTTTCTTTTTCGGGTCCCGCTCGGAAGCGGTAAAAGAGTTTCGACGTGTTTTGAAACTCGAGTCTGTTTAGTTAGTTTTTCATTCAAAAACGGTCTTGTTGTGTTTTGTCTCGTTTTTTTTTTTTTTTTTTTTGACTTGATTTCATTTTTATAGTCTACCTATACGAATTTTTTACCAAAAAGACAAAATGAAGTCCGCTTGATGGAAACCAGAGTTTTGGGTTTGTTTCAGTTTTGTTTTTGTTTTTTAGGTCTTAGAAAAAAATTTCCGCACTGATATGCGTGCGGTAAAAGTTTTACGGGAAAACTCATTTTCCGCACGCATATCAGTGCGGAAAATCGATTTTTCCGAACGGCTGTAGGAAATACAATATTTTTCCTACAGGCGAAAAAATGTAAAATTTTTCTTTTTTTTTGACATATCAGTGCGGTAAAATTTTTTCCGCACTGACAGCCGTGCGGAAAAAGTTTTTCCGCACTGATATGTCAAAAAAAAAAGTTTTACCGCACCGTGCGGGAAAACTCATTTTCCGCACGCATATCAGTGCGGAAAATCGATTTTTCCGCACGGCTGTAGGAAAAATATTTTTCGATGAAAAACATAATTTTATTTCGAATACGTAACATAGGTTAGTTTGGGTTAGTTGCAGAGGCAAATAGAAAGATACAAACACGATCTAAAAAAAAGATAGTTTTAGAATGATAATTATGGCCTTTTGCACCGACTATTTTAAGGAAGCCTTAGCGATAAGTATTCCCTAAAATGACATTTTTACATGGAGAAATGTCACTTTAGCTTAATGTACTATAACCAAGTATGCATTAATCAAAAGCCAGCGGAATCATAGCCTGTGGTGCAATTACCCTGTACCTCAAGGCCAGCAACGACTCGCTTCCTACGTCATCACTGAATCACTGGTATATATACAATAAGCTCAAGCTGTGCTTTGGCATTGGTGGGGGGTTTGAGATTTTAATTAATAAACACTGGCGGCTAGACATGATTGCGATCCAACGTTGCCAAACCAAAAACCGAACAGCGCTGGGCACGCGCTCGTAATATGTTCTAGTCTTTGCATGTTGGTATTTCAAACGAAACAAAGCAAATCCAAACTAACCGAAACTAACCCGTCCTCTTATCAATCTGTAATCTTAGCTAACCTAAGTTGTTCTGAAATAAAGAACCGTTTTTTCTAACATCTTAGGTAAGTTTATGTCAGTCGAAATTACCTCCCCCTTGCCTACGCCAAGGATGCCGGATTCCATCCTTAAGTTCAATTTCTTACCTGACGTTATGTTTATTTAAGGTTAGATCCTGCGTCCATCTTATTTGTACGTTTGAATTACAACTTAGCTCAGCTAAGATTTTCAAAGTTAGCTAAGATAAGACAGTGTGCAGAAAAAAAGCAGCTATTGTCTACATTGTCTACATTATCTATACGTAAAGTAGACAATAAAAGTCTACGTGTAGACGCACATCCCTGCCGACCGGTTAACCAAAAGTGCACTCGGTTAGTCACGGTAGACTGCCGTTAGAAGTTTCCAAGCGCTAGACCGGTCAGTCAAAGGTGACCTATAAACAATTCGTTCATCAAGACATTCTTGATCGGTGAAAATGATCCATCGCTTGTTGATAAATGACGTTGAATGCATTATTCATCTATCAAGTTACCTATCGGTCAGCCGCTTGAAAACTTGTGTTTGTTTGTATTTTATTTCAGTTGTCAGATGTCACATAATGACAGGTTTTTTTGGTTTTGCGCTTCTGTCTTTTGGTGGCTTGGCAGGACATAACAATATATTAGTTCGTATTGTGCGTAAAGTGTGGTGCCCTTTTAGTTAGTGTTTTACCTAGCCAATAAAGGAGATATAACAGTAAGAATTTAGATTTAGATTGAATTAAAATCTTCACATTCCACATAAATATCGCTCCTTAATAATTTCCATAGCCTCTATTTTTAAAGTTGTATACACCTCTATGCATAGGTCTGTGAAACTGCTTACCTTCAGATTGCTTATACCTACTCAAAGCTAAGAAATCACTTTTTATTTGAAATAAACATCTTTTTACAATGTGAACTTTCCTCTAGAGAAACTGTGTTCATTAAAATAGCTAAGCCAAATATTTTGGGGTTAGTACGTATAGGTATTTGCTTGCTTTTTAAATGTAAAGTAACATTGCCCAACTTCTAAATAACTAGGGTACTACACGATTTTACGGATTTTATAACTTACATTTTTTTTTTAAGTAAATCTTTTCAAATAGAATATATTAAAAGGAAAAAAATCGCTGGACAAAGCAAGTTTGCACAGGGAAAATTTGATCCAAAACATGCCAAAAATTGCCTTATTTTTATAGGTATAGCGTATAGCCTGTGTGCTACAATGTACAGTGCTTGTACAGTGTGCTCCAGCAGCTGATATTTTACAGCGTTGCCAAATCGATAAATAATATCTATCCTGTTAGTAAGAAGTATCAGGTTAGTATCACAAAAAATTCCTTTCCTTTCTCAAATGAAAATCCAAATATGATGCAATAAATCATATCTACTTTTAATCAATAAACGTTAATAAATACCAAAAGTTGGATAAAAAAAAACATATTATTTGGCAATTTGTTTTACAGACTGAAAATCATAACAGACATATTTTACAAAATGTTTCACCTAGATATTTTTCAAATTATTGTATAAGCATGTCATCCTTTTGCGTTTAGGTCACATTGGATTCCTTGGAGAATATGATTTTTCTGAGAAAAAAAATCATATTTAAGTTGGTGCCAAGTAGTGATGTAAAATGCTCGAGCAAGTATTTTAGGAGAACGTTCTCCGAGCAGAATCGAGAATTAACGAGAATAAACGAGCAAAAACGAGCAGGACCCGAGAATTTATGCTTTTTATCAGAAGCTGAATAAAACAAAACATTCTTCTAAATAAATTCTGATTTTTCTCAAATTTCCCGAAATTCTCAAATTTCTCGTGAAAGTTCTGAATATTCTGAAAATTCTTGATAAATGTGCTGAAAGTTCTCAAACTTCCTAGGAAAATATACCTACTTAATACATAATTGATCACATAATTTGAGAATTGTGTCTTGTGCCATGTTTGATAACAATAATTATTCTAATTTGCGGTTTTCTGTGAAACTTCAACATACAATTATCATTAGGATTCTTTTTTTTTTGATAATAAAATAAAATAGTAATTTTAGTTTGAGTATATTCCAGTACAACGCTACCTGTGCCTCCAAAAAAAAATAACTATTGCTGCTAAGTTGCTTCCTGTTTCTCGGGCTCAATATTCGATATATCTTCGCTTTCAGCAGATTCCATAAATATATCTCTACTTTATGGCGTCATGTGATTTTATTGGTTAGGATCGTGCTTGAGAACGTGCTGAATATTCTCTATCATGCTCATTGTGCTCCGGAGGTAATATTCAGCACGAACCTTTTTTTCGTGTGCGAACGTTCGCGAATGTTCTCGAAAGCACAATCAGAACGTTCCCTTGTTCACATCACTAGTGCCAAGGGAAATTAGTTTGCCAGAAAAATATGGATGAACACGTTTTTTTGATTTTTTTTTTTATTAATGGAAGGGAGCGGGAGAGCACTATATACTGGGTATTCCGAAATATCATTTACAAACGGAAGGGGGTGATTCTTTTTCGATACCAATCTCCAGGGTGTTGAAATTTTAATGTATTCATATTGGAAATGAGCAAGAATATGGCGGCGGGACCTCTATTGTCGCCACTCTAGGTAGAAAAGATTTATTGAATCACTGTAGTTTCATCTAGCTAATTACAGATACTTATTTGCTTTTTAATGTTTTTCTCAATAAGGTGATTCGAAAAAACTACAACAAAACAAAAAACTACTAGCAGCGCACCACAAAAAATTTCAGGGGCAGAAAATGGGGCATGTCCCCTGAAAAAATATCACCCTGTAGATTTTGGCAAATGTTCGAAATTTGCAATCATTAAGCTCCTATCGAAGCTCCTATTGCGTAACCTATTCCAAATTTGAGCTATATCCCTCAAAAATTGCAGGAGCTATAAAGAAAAACAAAAAAAAATTAAAATTTTAACATCCTGTAGATCGGTAACAAAGCGTTTGTGGACCTATGTTCATTAAAAATTTTACTCATGAAATAAACCAAAGAATCATCCCCCTCCGGTTGTACATGAAATTTAGGAACACCCTGTTTACTGTAGTATATGTACTATGTCACAGCCTCACTATGTACATTTATGAAATACTAAATTGAACAAAAACTGCACTCACTATTCCTTACTAACGCAAATAAAGAAAATCTCCTGGAAAATCTGACAACACCGCCTGATGAATTTTACCTGAGAGGAGTCCTGCCGAAATAGTTCACTGAGTTCAAATGCCTACTTGCATACACACAGTACACACAATCCTGCCCAATGAATATGACACCATCGCCGTGAAGGTCTCATATTCGCAAAAGCTTTGCAAATAGAAATAAATATGCAAATTCCTGAGATACAAAAACAATAATTATTAGTTTAGTGGTTTAATAACATTTTATTTTTGTTGAAAACACTTTTCACATTTTGTGCAGTGGAGATTATAATCTAATTTAATTTAATACTAGGTCATGAGCGCGCTTCGCGCGCTTTTTTTTTAAATCAAGTCCATCAAAATAATTATAAAATGGAAAATATTTATTAGGTAGGTGTTGTACAAAAAACAGCATAATTTTTGATTTAAATGTACATTATACATTAAATGTAACAGTGAGATAAGTTGTATAGATGTTATTCTAGTGAAGAAATTTCAAATGCGATGGATGGAGTTGGTGACTAATTATTTTTGTATGGTATATCATAATGATTTTAAATCGATCACATTTCTTGAATGTACCGTGTGCGTATGTCTACTTATCTCATTCTGTTTTATGGAACTCGTAGGTGTAGGTATACATTATTCGAAGTGGTTTATTTAAAACAGAATAATCATAACCATAATCAAGGTGTTATTATAAACCGAGTTAGTAACTATTTATGTGCTGTGGTATAATACGAGATATCGAGTCTTAATTTTTTTTTTACATTTTCATGAAGTTCCTTTTTTTTTATTAGGCCAGTTATTGAAGTCTACTCGATCAACATTTTACTGCAAACAATCGAAAAAAAAAATTTTTTAAAAGATTTTAAATTCAATTGCTCAATTATTCAACTTACATTTTTTGTTTGTACCTACGTGGTAGACATAAATTTTAAATGTGATCAAAGTAGTTGGTGAATTATTACTTTTGCGGTACATCGTAATGACTTTAAATCAATCTTATTTTTTGAATATACGGTGTGCATATGTCCAGTGGAACTTATTCTATTTTATGGAACTCGTAAGAATCCAAAGTTTAAAGAGTGCTAAGTCTTCATGTCGTTCTTCGTTATTTTCAATCATTTATGTTTATCCTGTTCAGGTTTTTGTCTTGTGATCTTCAAATATCTTGTAAATAAGTTGTAAAGATCTTCTGAAATCACCTATGACTGCGAAATTTCAAAATTAAATTATCAAAAAAACAATTCTTTAAAAACATGGTTTTTGACAACACTATTGCCTCTTTGTTTCCCTGAATAAAGTTTGAATGAGTCCCACGAACGAACTCTGAAAAGCGCCACATAAAGTTGTCCGTGACTAATACATCCTTTCTGGAGATCAATTATTACTATCCTATCAAATGTTTGTCCTTGAGATTTGTTAATCGTAACTCATTGCAAAGGCTAATTTTATTTTAAAATTGTCTTTGTTTGAACGTAAAGGGGTAGACGTTTTCGCAGTAGAGTGTTATTCGATTTATGAACACTATTTCTCCCTGTTTATCTACAGTCAATATCTCACAGCGTAACAGATTATCCCCAAGTTCCAGAACTAAAGGCCTTGTGCCATTGCAAAGGCCTGCACTGATGCTTAGATTTCTAATAAGCATACAATAGAATTCGTTTTCAATCGTAAATCATGGAGCGGGAATTCGGCGGATTAAGCGAATTTAAATATTTTGGAAGAATAGCATCATTTAGATCACTATTATCACAGTTCTTGACACTATCTATACTGGTGTAGAGTTTTTCGGTCTTGACGTCCAACAGTTCGACAACTTATTCGTTTATTTCTTCGACATCAACATTTCTTGCAGAAAGTATTGCAGATTTGGTCAAGTCCCTGAATCTTCCTTCTTTTAGTATTGTTCGTCGACTTTTCGTATGAGGAGCGAGGGGGTGAAGCGAAAACCAGGGGTGACCTTAGGTGACCATTGGCGTTCAAATGTAGGGTGCCACCAGCTCACATTCCTTTCGAGTATTAGATTAAAATCGACGGACTTTACTTCTCATAGATGTTTTCAACAATATCCGAATTATCAATACATTTCTCCGACAATTTTAGATTGTCGTTAGAATCATTTAGTGTTCGTTATCGCATAAAAATGGCTCAATTTCAGCAATAAGTGCTTAATATTGGCCTTTAAGGCGGCAACCGTTCGAGATTTGTCAACATAGACTTTGGATTTTAGAATGCCCAGAGAAAAAAATCCAGTGACGTTAGGTCGGCCAATTGTGGATTCTGAAGGACGATCGTTGACATCATAAATTGCACGGAGTGCACGAAACGTTTTCCGAATAGAACATTGGTTTTGATAATGATAATAATTTTTAACAATTCCGACGCGTTGCTCAATCGTGTAGCGCTCCATAATAAAATGCAGAGACTAATTGAATACGGCTGCCAAAGATAGCACCTGTGTGACTATCGAGTTTTTCATGGGCTATTGTCAAACATCGAGCGTTACTATTGGAAAACCCTATACATACCTAGATTCTTCTATTGGACCTAGAAAAAATATTAAACCACTTCCTTGCTTTGAAAAACAACCATCTACAGAGCAATATCTAATAGCACAGCTAATAGGCATATTGTCAGAGAATTGTCACATAAGTAACAAATTCACAGTCCTTCACAAAGATGCAACCGAGGAGAACATTGAAAATGCCGAAGCAAACTTCAACGCTAATGCTTGTGATTATTGTGAGCTTTGAGATCCGCTAAAATTCAACCCTTTCCAGATTTTCCAGAATTTTTCCGACCCAATCCAGAAATTTCCATGCGTTTTCCAGACGTTTCCAGAAATTTCCAGACTTTATCCAGATTTTTCCAGACTTAGCTAGACTTTATGCAGACTTGTCAAAATTTCTCCAGACCTTATCAAGCCTTTTCCAGAGGTTTCCAGACATTTCCAGACTTTCCCAGACTTTATCCAGACTTTTCTAGACTTGGCTGGATTTTTCCAGACTTTATCCAGACTTGTCTAGATTTCTCCAGACCTAATAGAGCCTTTTCCAGACGTTTCCAGAAATTTTCTGGCTTTTCTAGACTGTATCCAAACTTATCCAGACTTTTCCAGATTTAGCTAGACTTTATCCAGACTTGTCTAGATTTCTCCAGACCTTATCCAGCCCTTTTCTGACCTCTCCGGACTTCTCCCAAACACTTTCCCGACTTCAAATACACTTTTCCAGACTTTATCCAGACTTGTCTGAATTTCTCCAGACCTTATCAAGCCTTTTCCAGACGATACCAGAAATTTCCAGGCTTTTCCAGACTTTATCCAGACTTTTCTAGACTTGGCTAGATTTTTCCAGACTTTATCCAGACTTGTCTAGATTTCTCCAGACCTAATAGAGCCTTTTCCAGACGTTTCCAGAAATTTTCTGGCTCTTTTCCAGACTTTATCCAAACTTGTCTGAATGTCTCTAGACCTTATTAAGCCTTTTCCAGACGTTTCCAGAAATTTCCAGGCTTTTCCAGACTGTATCCAGATTTTTCTAGGCTTAGCTAGATTTTTCCAGACTTTATCCAGACTTGTCTAGATTTCTTCAGACCTAATAGAGCCTTTTCCAGACGTTTCTAGAAATTTTCTGGCTCTTTCCCAGACTTTATCCAAACTTATCCAGACTTTTCCAGACTTAGCAAGACTTTATCCAGACTTTATCCAGACTTATCTAGATTTCTCCAGACCTTATCCAGCCCTTTGACCTCTCCGGACTTCTCCCAAACACTTTCCCGACTTCAAATACACTTTTCCAGAACTTATCCAGACTTGTCTGAATTTCTCCAGACCTTATCCAGCCTTTTTCCGACGTTTCCAGAAATTTCCAGGCTTTTCCAGACTTTATCCAGACTTGGGTAGATTTTTCCAGACTTTATCCAGACTTGTCTAGATTTCTCCAGACCTAATAGAGCCTTTTCCAGACGTTTCCAGAAATTTTCTGGCTTTTCCAGACTTTATCCAAACTTATCCAAACTTTTCCAGACTTAGCTAAACTTTTTCCAGCCTTATCCAGACTTTATCCAGACTTGTCTAGATTTCTCCCGACCTTATCCAGCCCTTTCCTGACCTCTCCGGACTTCTTCCAAACACTTACCCGACTTCTATTATGTATAAGTAATTGCCTATCTATGAGTCGGCACTCAATGTATGCAAAAGCGGTAACAACCTTGAACTAACATAAACATATCGATTTTATATTCCGATTGCCTTATTTGCATAATTAAAGCGGTGACAACCTTGAACTAACATCTCGATTTTATAGTCAGATAGGCCTCATGACACAAGTAGAATGTATCCAAATGCTATGTTCCCAATTTTTCAATTTTTTGTTATTTTTTCATAAACCGGTGTTTTATCCAGCGATTTTTTTTCTTAAAATGTTCTGAAATAAGCATATCCATTCATTGTATATTTGGAAAAATTGAATATCCGTGATACCTGACCATTAAACATTTTTTATCATTTCAGCACTAGAACCTCGACTAGAACTGAGGGAATGATTGATTACTCTTAAAAAACTATTTGTAGGATAAGAATAAGAAACCAAATCATGGCAACCTTACATATGGGTTTGGGCCAGGACCGAGGCCAAGGCCAAGACGCTGCTATGCTTCTGGATTTCAACACAAAATTGGACATAAATCTTTTGGATAATGTTGTTGCTGGTATGTATACGGGAAATAAAGAAACTCAGAAAGTGGCACAACAAATTCTAACCAAACTCAAAGAACATCCAGAAGCATGGACTAGGGTTGACAGTATGCTAGAATTTTCCAATAACCCGCACACTAAATATTTTGCTCTACAAATTCTGGAGGAAGTTATTAAGACACGTTGGAAATGTTTAGAAAGACAACACCGTGAAGGCATTAAAAAATACATTGTACAATTGATTATTAAAACCAGTGGAGATCAGGAAAGTCTTGAAAGGAGTAGGACTTATCTTAGTAAGTTAAATGTGATTTTAGTTCAAGTCTTGAAACGTGAATGGCCAAACCAGTGGGAAAGTTTTATACCTGAAATTGTGGCAGCAAGTAAAACAAATGACAGTCTATGCCAAAATAACATGATAATTTTGAAACTTCTCAGTGAAGAGTTGTTTGACTTTTCTTCTGGCAATATTACACAAATTAAAGCAAAACATCTTAAGGACACCATGTGCTCGGAATTTTCTGCAATATTTCATTTATGCCAGTTTGTTTTGGAAAACTCACAGAATCCATCACTAGTAGATGCGACGTTGGAGACATTGTTGAAATTTTTAAATTGGATTCCCCTTGGATACATTTTTGAAACAAAGTTAATACCTACACTGATTTTTAAATTTTTGTCAGTTCCAATGTTTAGAAATATAACATTGAAATGCCTCACAGAAATTGCTGGTGTGACTGTTACAAATTATGATGATATGTTTACAACTTTATTTACCCAAACAATGACACAATTAGAAAAAATGCTTCCGTTAGAAACAGATATAAAAACAGCCTATGCAAAAGGTCAAGATCAAGAACAAAACTTCATTCAGAATCTAGCCATTTTTTTATGTACTTTTCTAAGAGAACATAAATATGTAGCTGAAGGTCAAGAACCCCAATTGAAGGATGCTTTAAAATATCTAGTACTAATATCTGAAGTTGAGGAAGTCGAAATTTTCAAAATTTGTCTAGAATATTGGAATAACTTGGCATCGCAACTTTACCGGGATATTGAATTGCAACACGTAGTTTTACCAGCTCCTCCACTTTTCTCTTTCGCTCGAAGAGCTCTTTATCAAGAAGTTTTGAATAAAGTTCGATACATCATGATCTCGAGAATGGCCAAACCTGAAGAAGTGTTGGTTGTAGAGAACGAAAATGGAGAAGTAGTTAGGGAATTTATGAAAGATACTGATGCAATTAATTTATATAAAAATATGAGGGAAACTCTTGTTTATCTGACCCATTTAGATTATGCTAATACTGAGAGAGTTATGACCTCAAAATTACAAAATCAAGTTGATGGATCCGAATGGTCGTGGAAAAATCTGAACACTCTGTGCTGGGCGATAGGTAGCATATCAGGTGCAATGCATGAGGAAGATGAAAAAAGGTTTTTGGTAACAGTTATAAAGGATTTACTTTTGTTGTGTGAACAGAAGAGAGGCAAAGATAACAAAGCTATAATTGCATCGAATATTATGTATGTTGTGGGTCAATATCCCAGATTTCTCAGAGCACATTGGAAATTTCTAAAAACAGTTGTGAGCAAGCTTTTTGAGTTTATGCATGAAACACATGATGGAGTTCAAGATATGGCCTGTGATACCTTCATCAAGATTGCAATGAAGTGTAGAAGACATTTTGTTACTACCCAGATTGGTGAAACTGTTCCATTTATTGAAGAAATTCTGACCAACATGAGCACCATAATTTGTGATCTTCAACCACTACAAGTGCACACATTTTATGAAGCTGTAGGATACATGATTTCAGCCCAAATTGATCAACCAACACAAGAAGCTTTGATTGAAAAATATATGGTATTACCTAACCAGGTATTTGTTTAAAAATTACGTATTTCTGACATCAAATTTTGAGCGCTTTTCTCTTGGTTTTCAGGTGTGGGATGAAATTATCATGAGGGCAAGCAAGAATGTTGATTGTCTGAAAGAAATTGAAGTAGTAAAGCAAGCTGCCCTGATTTTGAAGACAAATGTTAAAGCTTGTAAAGCTTTAAATCATGCATACGTTTATCAGCTTGGCAATGTTTATTTAGACATGCTAAATGTATACAAGGTAAGTAGTAATTTTGTCCATTTTTGGAAGCAGTTTCAAGTTACTACATCATTGTAATGTAATGTGATCAAATTAAAATTGCCATTATTATTAAATCAAAAATTTATTTTATGTAAGATTTATTCCATGGAATTAGTACCAACATTTTACTTTGAATGGAATGAGGTAGTTCTTATTTGTTGATTTTGTATCTGATGCAGTTCTAATGACAAATCCGAGTTTTCGATCTCGAAAGCCCTCCGGATCATTGTTAAATATTACTAAAACCGCTAAGTTTTTTGACCCTTTTTTAACTTTTTCTCAATTTTAACCACCAAGGACTAATGTTACGGCATAAGTCGTTATGTACAATTCTAAAGCAAACAAAATGTTGAAAAAAAACGAGATTAATTTGTCTTTGTAGATGGAATAGTTGGCTGGGCACTGTGCAGTGTCCAGTTAGCAGTCCGATGACCAATTTGATGTCATTTCTGTTCATGTGTGTTCGCTTTTGTGATGTGGTTTTTGCCTGTCTCCAGTATGTGTATGTGGACAATTAATTGGTCTCCCATTTTTTTAGTTCATTTGTGATGTGGCTCGTCATTAGGCATCAGTGGGGCTCTAGACCATAGTATGGTGCTTCAGCCCCTTGCTTTGTGAGGCTGTCTGCTTTATCGTTGCCAGCTATGCCAGGCACCCACATTGAGGTTGCCTGGTTGCGCCGTGTTAGTAGTTGTAGGGTCTCCTTGCATTCCCGGACTGCCGTTGATACACATTCGCAGGCGTTCCAAGCCTTGATAGTAAATATGCTTTATTGCCCAAGAATACAAACATCTTATTGACAATGCTAACCTTACTTAAATTAAATTTCACAACTAAACCTAGAAGCCAGCAAGTCAACAATATCTATCAAATTAAAACTAATGTAGGCAATAATTTACAAAAATAATAAATACATTCATTTAACACAACATTTCTTGACATAGGTTTCAAAGACTAGTGGACACAAAAAACCTTTATTCAGTAGGTATGTCAGTCAAATTAAGATAAATAAGTAAATAGGTAAAATTTAAAACAATACAGAAATACACAATTGCAAAAATACACAATATGCACACAATATGCAACGCTAGTGCCACACACACACAGAGGTAAAAAAACAATGTGTATGTCATAAGGAAAAATATATAAACAATAAAAAGTCCACAAAAGGTTGAATTTAAAATTGAGTAACTATTGACGGAATAAGATACAACTATTGGCTAAAAGAATAATTAAAATACTCATCGAGCGAATAAAAAGCTGGCTTCACTAGTGCATCCTTTAAGGTTTTGCAAAACTTTGAGATATCTGATATGGTTTTGAAATTTAAAGGCAGGTGATTAAAGATCTTTATGCTATTATAAGTTATTGAATTTTGCGCCAAAGCAATGGGGGATCGGAAGAGGAATGTCATGCCTTTGACAAGTCAAAGCTGTCTGATGAACACTGCCATGTTTCCTGGCAATGTTTTTGTGTATTTTGGTTTATAGAGATAGGTACGTCATAATATTTTAAGAAAGATATCGATTTGGCAACATGGGGACAAACATTTAGGTTCATTCTACTAGGTAACCAGAGTTCACTGATAATACCTATCCTTTATTTATGACTTGTAAACATCTATACCAGCGGTGTGAGGGTCAATCTCGGGAAATGGGATGGAAATGTGAAAGCGGATGTGATATCATAGTCCAGGCGCAGTGTTAAGTGCGCAGCTGCTTCAGCGCTGGCGGCCTAAGTTGGCATTAGATTTTCATGTCGATGATGTTGTTATAGTAGATCGCTGTACATTTGTGCAGTGAATCAATCCACTCTGATTGAAGCTACCAGTAAGTATTATTAAAGTACCAGCCGACCCGGCCACGCTTTGCTGTGGCTCAGTCAGTAATTTTAATGTGTTTAATTAATTTTATACTAATCTTTTTAATACCTACAGTCGAATTAATTTTCACTAATAAGGCTAAAAATGTTTCAATCGATCTGAAACCCTACGGGATTGAGAATAGAATATTAAGCCAAAATTTAAATGTGATTGGTAAAGAATTTTGGAGGGTTAAAATTAAACAAAAACTAACAATTTTCAAATTAATATTTTATTCATCTCATGACAGGTTAACCAAAAATATTTTTTATTGTTATACTTTAGAATCATGGATGTAATTATTGAAAATAGTTAAAAATCATTGTTATCTACCTCATTTATAAAATTAAGTTTTCATAATATTTTATCAAGTATGTACATATTTTGTAAATAAGTAATTTATTACAAACTATAGCCGAACACCAGATGAATAAAATATTAATTTACAAATTATACGGTGGTTTATTTTTAATTTTAACTCTCCAAAACTCTTTTACCAATCACATTTAAATTCTCGCTTAACGTTCTATTCTCAATCCGGTAGGGATTCAGATCGCTACTGAAACATTTTTAGCTTTATTATAGTGGATACTCGACTGTATTCAAAAGAGTAGTACGAAATTATTATTAAGTAAACGTATTATACCTACTGAGTCAAAGCAACGCATGGCTGGGTCAGCTAGTAATAATATACAAAGGACGCAAAGCGCAATTATAACACAATACACAATACTACAATGGGGCAATCCAATCAATATGGCGGCCTTGTCAAACAATGAAGTTGCCGCACATTGGGATTTCATTGGGCACATTCAGGCGGTCCCAGCGGCTAAGCTCCAGCCACTCAGCAGGGAATTTATTCTCCAAACCAAGAAACAGCGTTCTCATAAGAACGATCGCTCTGTCACTGTTAGTGTTTTGCCGGACGACAAAGACAGAACCTTCGTTCCAATGAGAACGCTGCTCCCCTATTCCGAGAAGAAAAATCCTGCTGAGAGGCTGAACTAATCCGCTGACACCGCCTGAATGTACCCATTAACTTTCAGACAACCCTGACGTTTTGTTATCAAAAAACTATTTTCTGTGTATTTTGTGGTGTTTCAAGGTGATTTTCTATTACTTGAGAAGGATAACTTTCGTATTTTAAGATGGAGAGTCCTTTAGTCCTTATCTTCAGAATTTATTAGTGCAAAGTGCAAAACACGGAAGTTGACGTTGGCTAAAGGTATGCTAAAATCCCAGCTAAAATTCTATATGGGTAACAGTTAACAAATGAATGAAGATTTGTCGAAGATAATTTAATATTTATTTATGCATAAGTACAACTAAATTAAATACTAAAATTTAATTAGGTATCTATAATTGGAACAGTTAGCACAAGCCGCAAGTCACTTTACAGGAATGAAAATGGGCTTGAGTAAGCAAAAAACGGAAGAGTTGATAAAAACGAACCAGAAAACTTGTGTCGTTCTAGCCTTTTGCGGATGACTGGAATAACCATGAGAAAAGCACAACAAGCCTTAAGACAAATCGTTATTTTTCGTTAAAAACCTGTTTTTGTATCTGCAGGAACGACATATAAAACGATTTACCTTGATAAGAACGGCTTCCTAGACCAAATACAATACAACACATATCCCAGGCATTTTCCAATAAAATAAATATTTTACACCAATCAAAAACCTTATTTAGAGCAAAAAACCCGCATCACAAAAGATAGGTGCTTGACCCATGTCGCCATAGTGGGTTTGTTTTTTGACGGATCGTTGGATCAAGGATAATACTCCACTACTACAGGCCTATCCTCATAAGGTCTGTGTAGTTCAAATCTCAAGCCCCGCACTATGCCAAAGCACCAGTGTGCATGTAGTTTCGCGCCTCAACAAAGTGTGTTTGCACCACAAGTTATGATTCCGCAGGATTATGCTTTATGCATACTTGGTTTTACTACACTAATTAACATTCTAAAACAACCCGATCCCGTATTTATCTTCGTCTTTGCGAATTATGTTAATCAAAATTAAATAATATTTTTCATCATACCGTTGGCGCAAACAGCTGACGACTCAGTTAATGACGTCGGCAATGGTGTTACACCAATATGGCGGCGATTACCAAAAACGAGACCGATAAGCAATCCTTAGTAGTGTGTATTATCCTTGTCGTTGGATTGCCTTCTGGAAGTCAACCGGACCTAGATCCTAGATGTCATACAGTGACTAAATAATCCTTTACAGTGGCGACAATAGAGGTCCTGCCGCCATTTTCTTGCTTACTTTTTGCCTATTTTAAATATGAATATATGGGATTTAGGTGGAAATCTTTCATAAAAAATTTAAAACAACTTATTTGATGACTATTATTAGGGACATCAAATACGTTCTTTTTAATTTTTTATGATGGATCTCCATTCAAACTTAAACCCTATACAGGGTGAGTTTTTTAAAGTGTTACAATGCGATATATCAAAAACAGCTGCAATTTTTTTTTTGACATTTTGGTGACGTAATGAGTACACGGGGGGACACATTCTACGATACTTTTGACATTTGCCCCTTCACTCTCTTGAGAGGAGTGGGGGGTCATTTTCTTATTTTAAATGGAATGATGTGTTTTTTATTCTGAAATACGGTTCTACATAAAAAATGGAGTCTGTTCACAAATTATTTTTCAAATTGTTCAACTAAATATGGAATTATGACTAAAAAGGTAACTATAATAAAAAAATAATTTATCGCCTAATTTTGAATTATCTATCGTCTATTATATTATGCCTAAGAAGTTGTTCAAAATGACCGCCTTCGACTTCCAAACATTTCCTTATTCTTTCCCGGAATGAATTTCGTACTCGTTGTAACATTGCTGGAGTCACCAATAAACATGCAGAACGAATTCTGTTTTTCATGTTCTCTGGAGTCGTAGAAGTCGTAGGAGCAGTAGCCATTACTTTATCCTTTTATAAATCCTTATAAAAAAAATCAAGGGGGTCCAAATTGAATAGGAACTGATAAAAAATGATTTGAATCTTGCAATTATTAAAAAAAGCTGCATTAGAAAAAATACCATTATTCAAAAATTGGTAATTTTCGCGCATTTTTCTTGAAGCCCAAGTGCAAAA